AGATCCAAGCTCTGGCCCATTCGCGGACCCCTGGAGGTGGTCCACGTACATAACACTTTTTAAAATGAAAGCTATGAATTTAGAGGAGCTAGTAGATTGTCAGTACATAGGATTGCTAGCTCTGGGTTGGGAAATATGTGGAGATTTTGGAGACTGAGGAGCATAGGAAAGGGACTTCAATGGGGTATAATGCCACAGAGTCCACCTTCCAAAGGAGTCATTTTCTCCAGGTTGCCTTGAGATCAGTTGTAATCCCAGAAGATGTCCAGCCACCACCTGGACATTGGCAACTTTATCAGTACATCATTTTACCACTATAGTGATCTAGCATTTACGGTTGTTTTACGCCAGAAAATAGCCCTCGGAAAGCACTACCAAAAAATGGCACTGGAATGGGTGTGCCTTCCCATCCAGGCAGCCTGATAACATGCTTGAACTGCACTCTTCCCTAGAAGATCAGAGAGAAGCAAATTTGGGGGAGATTGAACTGAGGACATGTAAAGGCCCAGATGACTTTCTCTGCACGGTGCAACTGTTCTTGCATACGATACAAGATTTGATTAATTACAAAGCACTACATTTTTGTGAATAGGCAAACGCTTATTATTTCCAAAGCTGGATCTGCTGAAGATCAACTAATAAAAGATAACATTTTGATTTTCTTCATGGTAATTCTGAAAAGAGTTCAAGTCCTGAGAAACAGAATGAAAACACAAGAGTCATTTCAGTAGTGAATCTGACAAATGAATCATAAACATTCAAAGAACCTTGATAACCATCTTATAAGTGGCAATGTTCTACCTGCACATTTTTAGTGGAACAACAGACTTAACCCCCTGAAACAAGTCAAAATAGTCACATGGCTAATTCAAGGTCATGCCACTTTAATGATGTGCAGTGAAAGAAGTTAGAGAGAGATCACTGAAAAATCTATGGAGAAACTATTCTGACTGTATTAACCTTGATCCAGTATGTCTTCAAGTTTTTTTTAAAAGCTACAAAACCAGAAAATTTTATTGACTAACCTTTGTTATGCACATCACTTAGGAAAATAATTTTTAGTTGGGAATAAACTTTACATAGACAGCCTGCATATATCAAATAAGGCTAAATTGGATTACATTTTTGAAAGGTTCATTTGACCATATATAAACTATACAAGCCAGGGAGTGGAGTCCTGAAACTCATACCCTTCGGGGTAGTCACAAGCTAATAGACACCACAGAATAGAGCCAGATATTGTGGTAACTATAGCCTACAATGCGTCTTCAGCGTCTTCAACCTTTCAACGCTTATTTCCCAGACAACAACATAGGACCCACTGATCTGCAAGCAGTTATTCCAGTGTCATGTGACAGGAAGAACTGGCAAACCTATGACCTCATCAGTGTCAAGGCCAGGGCTATAGGCAGAAGACCAAAAGATCCGGGGACAGGAAACACAACCTGAGGTGAACTTTAGCAAGGAACAACCTACCATAGACGCCTCCATCACCACCTCTTTCTCCTTGCCTGGCCTGCCCTTCCCCTCAACAGTCCAATACTCCCTGGCTGTTTTCATGGTGCAAAGCACTCCTTACCTAAAAAAGACCAGCTTTCAGAGGGAGGATGAGCTCTCCACTGCAAGCACGTGAGTAGAGCTCTGACTGACAGAGAAGTGGACAGACAAGAAAGAAGCGCTTTTGCATGGAGGTCAATCTTTGGAATTGCCTGTGTTAAGTACACATACTTTTCCAATGCAAAGTGACCTCACCTCACTGTCCTGCTGCTCTTCTTAAAATGTGTGCAAACAGAGACTACTGGTGTAGTGTCCTTGCTCCTATTTATGCGTGTTAGCTGCAGGTCCTGCCAAACAGCAGCAAAAAGGAAAATAAACCTGGCAGTCCTATAGGGATTTGGGACTCACCCAAAAATAAAAACATCAAAGGCAGGTGATTAGCTGTTTTGCCTTTCTAACTCAGATGAACAAAAATGTATGTTTGCATTGGTATTCCTTGTGATTGTAGTTTACAACAATCTTAGTATTTTCAGTCACATGAGCAATGGAAAAAACCTGCAAGTGATGTCTACAAGCCCCATGCAATGTCACTGATGCACACATTTTTGTAGTGTTACAGATGGTAATGAATTGCTAAAAAGTACTGCAATTCCAAAATACATAAATGTTAAAAATAAGCAGAACACAACGTATATGAACTGAACTTGCCTTCCCCCCCCACACACACACACAAGGAAGCTGAGTCATGTTACCTACCCAGCCAAAGGACAAGACAGAGCAGCATCAGTTATCCCGGGGAATAGGTGATCCAATCTAAGACATTTACTATGACGTACATACATATTTGATGCTTTGTTGTGAACATACTTTAAAATACGTTGTGTGCTTTCATTTTTTATGTAGTGACAAAAGGAATAGCCGCATCAGAAGTCTTATTTTCTAAGGCTGTCATCTGTCATTTAAATTCATTGAAATTTATTACAAAAAGCTAAAATAGTAGCTTCCAATTCTGCTGCCCACAATCAGACACACATAAATCTCACCAAAGTCAGAAACAACACAGAGAGCAGCAGTAAGGCATGACAGATCCAAGTTCCCATGTACCTAGTTCAACAAAATCAGTGGCTTCCAATGATCTTCTCCTTGAGATTATTGATGCACCATTACTTTTCTACCAGTACTGAAGTCTGACCTACATTCTCTAACACATACTCAGGTGCCAGTTTACTCAAAATAGTCAAAACAAAGAAGGTTTTAAAGACACAACTTTACTTTAAGAAAAAATTAGGTACATATCAGATGCCTAGTTCAAATTTTGGAACACAGCCGTCATTTCAAACATGCCCCCCCCAAAAAAAACAAAAACCTAGAATTCTCTGCAAGAGAACATACACACAAAAAAGAGAATCTAAGTTGAATTAGAGGTGTTACATTAGGGAAGTTGTTCACATTCTGCTTCTCAGGTAAGGTGTTTCTTTATTGTTCTAGCCTCATGCCAAGTATCCATACAGCATGAATATACATTCTTACAAATTAGAAGTTATCTTTCTAACAATATATACTGCAAACTCAAACCAATTTAACTGTCATAAATTCCTCACTGTGACCCCAGGAAATTAGGATGTTTTAACAAGCTTCTCACCAACCTCACAGCAGTACAGATACCAGGGATCCACAGGTAAAACCATCAAATTTATCAGGATACAGACTAGCTGTGCTTACAGGGCAGACATGTGCTTAAGGTCTCCATTCAACAACTGTCAGACTTTACAGTTTTATCACTGTGTATGCTTGTTCTAATAAAAGAGAACTTTTAAAGTTTCTATTTTAGTCTGGACTCCAAGGCCTGAGGCCAGTTTTCCAATATACTGGAGATAGACTGATTTTCAGTTATTAACAACCTTCCTTGAAACTGCTAGGTTCTTCAAATGCTCTTTGCTGAGTAGGAAAAACTTTCTTTGCAAACCTTCAATGACAACATTGCTTTCAGTTACTCCTTACAAACAAGAACAAAAAAGTACAATCAAAGCAAGCATCACAATGTTCACTACTAACATTTCTCCTTATGATTAAACATGACTTTCTATCATCCTTGCAAATGACCCTGCTTCAGTAACTCAAGAAAGTTATTTTCAGCCAAAGGGGGAAAAAATCTCACTGATTCTTAAGGCAGGAACAAATTCTGGTGGGGCAGCTGTGTTGCAGAAACAACAAAAACTCTTGTAGCACCTTTAAGATTAGCAGAGCATATATGTTCACAGACAGTATTTAAAGCCATTGTGTGTCACTGTGCTTATCTTGTATACTTTTGCACTGCAATATCTCAGGTTGCACTTCAGGACCTTTTAAATGCTGTGTTCATAATCCTCTCCTACTGATATATCTCCTGACAAAGGCCTCAATTCATGCATCTGATGAAGTGGCCTTCAGCCTACAAAAGCTTATGCATCAGTTTTTAAGGTGTGCCACAAATCCTCTTTACAGTAGGACGCAGCTCAGCATCTCCAAGCAACCAATGCCTGCACTGAAACACAGCCAGCCTGTTATGCAGATCCAGAGGAAAACCCAGCTCCCAAATTCAACACTGCCCACTCACCCTCACCCCACCTCCCCAAAGGCTGAAGATCCACATCACAGCCACTATCATTATCCCAAGCAACTGGAAAGAGCTCTCTGGCGCATGGTGCAGGTTCTCAGTACTAGCTGGTCCCCACCATGGCTGCTACTACTACCCTGGAGAGTTAGTCACTGCTGATGCTTTCCAGGGAACACTCTTTATTTGAGCTGTATCATAATGTTGAACTACACTCCCCCCCCACTTCCTTCCTTTGCAAATCATGCTCTCCTAGCAAAAAATAAATAAAAAATCTTGGAGCTCTCCACTCCACCCCCCCCCCCACCTCCACATCCAGGTCATTATTTCTAAATAAATGAATTACATCGGTGCCAGGATCAAGCCTGCCATCTACCCTGAAATTCATGCAGCTTGATTCTATGCATGCTGCCCTCCCCAAGCAAGTCTTCTTGAATTCAAGGGAACTCACTCTCTGGTAATCTGGGGCTGGGGCTGCAGACATACAGTCAATAATCCTATGCACCTTTGTTGTGAGCAACTGGCACTTTCCCTCAGGATTTAGGATCGTGGGCGCCTGCTGACGCAGGAGTGCCACACACCGATTTACCCCATTTCAGTAAGCAGAGGGCTTCAGCCTCAGTATAAGATCCAGTGAGGAAGCTGCAGTCGCTGGCAGGGTGAGGGGCTTCCTATCACTTCCCCTACTCGAGGACAGCCGAGGCACACGGGGGAGGCCCGGACTGAAGCCCTGCCCATCCTGTCTGCCCGGTCACTGTCCCAGCTGGGCCCTGCCGAAGTTTCTGCGGCACCGCTTGGCGAGGCTGTGGCACCCTGACGCGCCGGCTCCAGACGCGGGCCAGGACGCGCGGGCAAGGATGCGGCGCTACCCCCGCCGCCGCCACCGCCCGGTGCCTCCCCCGGCCCTTACCTTGCTTGACACACTTGAGCCGGATGGGGTCCTTGCAGTGCTTGATCACGGCCAGCACATCCCGGATGGTCAGCCCGGCCACGGGGGTCTCGTTCACCTCCAGGAGCAGCTCCTCGGGCACCAGCTTGCCGCCGCTCTCGTAGACCACCTGGCCGGCCTTGACCTCCCCGAGGTAGGGGAACTGCCCGTTCTCGGCTCCCCCCTTGAGCTCGAAGCCCAGCTGGCCCTCGCCGTTGCGCGCTATGGCACACTCATGGACCCGGCTCGTCCAGTGGCTTTTCTTCTTCAAGCCCTTGGACATTGCCCTGGGGGGACGGGAGGGGAGGGGCGGCCGCCTCGGGGTGTCCTTGGAGTTGCCTCCGCGGGCGAGGGGAGAGGGGGGAGGAGGGGGCGGCGGCGGCGTCTCTTCTTCCCGGTCGCCTGAATCGGAGGGGAGGATGGAGGGAGGGAAGGGCGGGAGGGTGCCCGTTTCCCCTCTCGGCTCCTCTAGCTGCCTCCGCGATGGGAGCCGCTGGCCATGGCAGCTGCGGCAGCCGCCAGGATGCTCCGTGTGTGTGTGTGCGCGTGTGTGTACTAGTTGTACAGTAAGTGGAGGGAGGAGGGGGAAAGAAGGGCGGGTTGTGTGTGTGTGTGTGTGTGTGTGTCGGAGGCGGGAGCGAGGTGGGGAGCTGGCTGCCTCGTACACTCGCTTTCCTCAGAGCCTGACCCGGTAGTGAAGACCGAGAGAGAGGCTGGAAAAAGCAGCAGTGGCGGCGGAGGGAAGGCGGAGAGCCGCCAGCAGTGGGTGGGGAGAGGAAAGGACGCGCTGCCAACGCGCCCCGCCAGGCACCTAGCCTAGAGCGCCGCTTTTCCGCCCCCTCCGCGGCGGCGGCGGCGGCGGCGGCGGCGTCACTCGCGGGGCAGGATTGGACAAGGAAGCCGCCGACGTCACGAAACGGCCCGTAGTCCCCTCGCTGCTGCCCGAATTCCAGCTGCGCAAAAGCGCGCCGGGTGGCCGCAAAGGCTAGCGCAGCGTGCTGGGAGAAGTCATCCTAGGAGCGCTGGGGAGGGGGGTGCAGGTTTGGCAGTCGGGTTCAGAGGCCTGCTTTGTCAGAACGAAGGCAAAAACACGTGGGTGGGTTTTTAAGCGCCTTATCACTTGGAACGAATTCACACGTGCCCCGCGAAACACTTCTGCATAGAAGAGGGGGAAAAAAACCAAGGGCAACTTTCAATAGGCTTGCGCCAGGTTTCTGAACTCTCGATGATGCAGCGTTTTCAGCCTTCCTGGGTTTTACAGCGATCATGGAGATCTCATCCTAGTTTCATTAACACAAGTCCACAAGTGATGCCTTTGCTGGTTTAAACGCCATCAGGTACCTTCTCCACTGAGAAGGGATGGAAGTCTGTTCCTGATGTTCCAATTACATTAAATTAATTGTGTGCGATTCAAGCCAGTGGAAATTATATTCCCTCTTTTGCCCTGTCTTTCGTTTTCAGTTCATCTGACCCACTTCTCCATCCTCTTGATATTTTTTGCAGTCTTCTCTGTTTGTGTTCACTCTTTCTCACAGCCCCAAATTTGCAAGCAAATTCACACAGACAGACTCCCATCCCACCTACATGTAATATTCTGCAGAGTATTCTCTATCTTACTCATTTCTACAATTTGCTGGGAATTAGTACACAAGACATACTTTGAAATTCAGCTGTTAATTCAAAAATAACATTGCATCACTGAACAGTTTCCAGCACTCTGTTGGAACTTCATCCAGATTAGTACCCGCATTTCTGTATTCTCTGTCCTTGTTTGCACTGTGTGCAATTCTGGTCACCACACCTTAAAAAGGATATTATAGCTTTGGAAAAAGTGCAGAAAAGGGCAACTAGAATTATAAAGGGGTTGGAACACTTTCCCTATGAAGAAAGGTTAAGGCGCTTAGGGCTCTTTAGCTTGGAGAAACGACGACTGAGGGGTGACATGATTGAGGTTTATAAGATTATGCATGGGAAAGAGCAGGTAGAGAAAGAGGTACTTTTCTCCCTTTCTCACAATACAAGAGCTCGTGGGCACTCCATGAAATTGCTGAGCGGTCAGGTTAGAATGGATAAGAGGAAGTACTTCTTCACCCAAAGAGTGATTAACACTTGGAATTCACTGCCACAGGAAGTGGTGGCGGCTACAAGCATGGACGGCTTCAAAAGGGAATTAGATAAGCATATGGAGCAGAGGTCCATCAGTGGCTATTAGCCACAAGGTATAGATAGGGACTCTGGGGCAAGTGATGCTCTGTCATCTTGGTGCTTGGGGGGGGGGTCAACAGTGGGAGGGCTTCTAATGTCCTGCCCCCACTGCTGGGCCTCCTGATGGCACCTGGTATTTCTGGCCACTGTGCTATACAGAGTGTTGGACTGGATGGGCCTTTGGCCTGATCCAACATTGGCATCTCTTATGTTCTTATGTAAGGAAAACTCACTCTCAATACGCAATGGGAAATTAAGGTTCTGTTTTGTAGGTGAAACATGTGGGTGTTGGGAAATAGGGGTCCCCGCCATGATTGCAGGTGGTGCACTCTGTAAACCTATTTATTCCAGTGGAATTTACTTTCCTGTAACGGCCAGATCTCACAGGGCTTATAGTAGGTAGAATGCACATGCAGTGGACTGCAGGAACAAACTTCTAGCTTCTTTGCACTGCTCTTTGCTATGGTTTCTGTGTAGGCCAGCCCCATAGAGTGACACAGAAAAGTCCTTTCCGTTGTATAATTTTGTGAAAGATGCACAGTGAATGGTGGGAAGCAGGACATTTATTTATTATTAATTTTCTATCTTGCTTCCATGTTAAATTCACATTTAAAATACCAGTCGATGTTTATTTACTTACTCCCTCCACTTTCCCCCCAATGGAGACACAAACTGCCTTCTCCTCATTCTCCTCTCCTCCAACAGCCCTATGAGTCAGAGTAGGTGGAGAGTGTCTGGGCCAAGGTCATCCAACAAGCTTCCATGGCAGAGTGGAGATTCAAACTTGGGTCTCCCAGATCCTAGGGTGACATTCTCACCTAACCACTACACAGTGCTGGATGTCTGATAAGAACATTCACATTTCTCCTGACTGTGACATGGGCAGACGTTTGTCACACTAGGAGACTGTGGATCTCCTGAGGAAGGAAGATGTTGAAAAGTTCTACTATTAAAGAAAAGCCAGTCATGTTTGCTGGGAAACGTTCCAGCCCTTTCTATAGCCCTGGTCCCCATCTGCACTTCTCCTTCCCCACTTCCCACCCTAACCATTTGTGACACTTCCAGGGCCTGAGAGCTGCCCTACAGGGGTTTGGAAGAAGCTGGGAACTGAGGGACTGGTTAGTGGCACTCTGACAGGAAGACGTGAGTGGCTAGCTTGGGAAGCAGATATGTGTGGTGAGGGTGTCCCATTAGGGCTAAGCTGTGACTGGGGCCATCAGCCTGGAGGATGGAGGCCTAGTCAGGAAGGGCAGGTCCAGTTATTGGGCTGAGAACTTCAGGCAGTAGTGAGACAGAGCTGGGAGGTGGCTGGAGATTGAGAGCATGGAAGAAGAAGAAAATAGCCAGCAGGTACAACTCAATGTACCCAATAAAGAAGGTTCCTGGAATGTGGGCATGTGTTTCTTTATTTGGTGCACCATGAAGCTGAGACCCCCACCAAGCCTGCTCCTAGCAGCCTGGCCTCATCCCTGCACTTCTCTTTTGATGCGGCTCAAAAAAGCTGCACTTTAGCCGTGCCTTTCCCCCCAGTGTGACCGGGGCCTATATCTGTTTATTCATAGGGAGTCCTGGTGATAAAGTTTGTTGTGTTATCATCTGTGTTGGCTTATGCTGGGTTGTGCGTCTTAGTCACATTACTGTGACCAAATCTTAGGTGAATAGAATTAGCTGTTGTGGTGAAGAAAATACCCTACCATGATAACATCATCAAGTGTAGCAAATTACTACCCTCCGCCAAATGAACTAATGCCAGCCATTCATTTATACTATATGGGTCAGAGTAATGAGTGGCACTTGGAGCCATGATTGATGTGGGGGGCAGCCCTTTGTGATTTCCCTTCTCATATTCCCACACTTTCATCTGAAGAGAAGAACCCTTTGTTCTATTTGCTCATCATATTGACAGGCTATTTGAAGTGTGGAACAAAATAGTAAAAATGACAATTAAAAGATTTCAGGATGAGAAAGATACCCTCTTTCATCTGCATCAAATACTGCATCCAAAAATTGTTCTCAGATGAGGAGAAATTCCCCTGAGTGCTATTTGTCACATTGCAGTGTGGAGTGATAGGATCAGCAGCATTTGCCAGACTGCTTTCTGCAGTACAAGCACTTAATTCACGTCCGGTGTGGAGTCCATTCCTTTCTTAAGGTGGAACAAGGATGGAAGCAGCAGATCCCTTTCTTCAAATGTAGGTTGCTGAAAGCTACAAAGCAGGAGTGATTCCAAGCATCTCACTAACCATGGGGATTCTAATGCTATCTTACATGATTTCTCCCTCCCCCAACCAGCATTAATGCTAGAACTAGCTCTGACAGCAGCATTCTGGTGGCATAAAGCGTGGGTCATTCAGTTTATTTCAAACAGAGGGCAGGAGGAGGGTGCTGGACTCCACCAGTCATTTCCATCTACTACTGCAATCACTACTCTAGTTTATTTTCTCCTTAGATGAGCTTATTTCCCTACTCAGTTTCCATTGTGTGTGTGTGTGGGGGGGGGTAGCATGTGTGGGAGAGGAAAAGCAACAGGTCTTACATTCTACTCCCATAGACTGCATCTCCAGTGA